TTAGGTTTAGGAGAACTAGATTCTATGCTAGGATTTTCTACTGATATTAGAGCAAAATGTGTTGGGTCGACTGAGTTCATGTTGGATCATCTAGGATCTATTGGGTTGGGCATGATCTACCCTCCGTGGGTCTTGATTTTTTTAAAATTTAAAATTAAAATTTAGATTTTCCAATATTTTCTCATTTTTCTTAGAAAAAAATCTAATATTAATAAATTGTTTGGTTTAAAAAATTCTATTAATCTAAAATTAAAATTTAGTAATCTAATAAGATAATAACTATTTTACATTTTTAATTTTTTTATTTAAAATTAAAAATTAAAAATATATTTAACTAATATTTTAAATATAAAAAAATTAATTAATTTTTTGGGGTCATGGTTGACTCAAGCCAACCCTAACCTGATGGGTTATTTAAGGAATTTATTATTCTAGAAGCAATTAGATATAGAAGCTTGAATTATTCTTTAATTGGGTTTTATTAAACATAAATTAGACAAATATAATAAATTAAAGTGATGTGTGAAGACTCCTAAAAAAAGGTGATGTATGAAGATACCATGTAGGGGCAAAGGTTGTTGCATTTTAATTTCATTTTATTGCACCCCTCCCCTCCCTCATCCCATCCCCACCACCCTCAAAAAAGAAGAAAAAAAAAAAAAGAAAAAAAAAGAAAAGAAAAGGAAAACTCTTTTGCGGGAAAACAAATTATTTCTACTTTATTATTAAGTAGCCATCAATTCTGATATGGTATGAGCAACTGCAGCCCAACCTCCCCTTTTGCCACTTCTTGCTATTGTTACATTTCCCTCTTGCTTGACTCTAACTTGACCATGGTATATTTGGTTCTGTGAGAAGAGAACAGATTTGAGGAAATGAGGCTGGAGTAAATACTCCTTCCGGCGAAGGAAAATGGTTTTGCTGGGAAAATTCATAATCAACCCGTGTCTTCTTCAACCTTAGCTGTCAAGGTTTTGTAGGCAGATTATATCCATTCTGTCCCTCAGAATTTTCCCTTGAGTGAACAAAATTTTAACATGATTATTGTCAAGGCATACTAAAAATAATTATCTTCAGTAATGTAAAGATTTCAAGTTTTTCAACCACATAAGCTGTCATTACTGAAATGTCCGTATTATACTGACTTCCTGTGGTTATAGTGGTTGTATATACGTCTCAAAACCTTGCTTTGGTCACATTTCAAATTAGCAAATGCTTAATTTTTAATTATTTCTTGTTCCTAAAAGTTATTTCGTTTTTGTATACTTCCCATTTCAGGTGAATGTTTTGACACATACTGCTGAAGTGAAACTTCACGCTGAACATCTTGTAAGAATAAAGAGGTTAAAACAAAAAATATTATGTACAGGATCAGAAAGAGATTTTTGGCTTGAAGAAGCCTAGTGGTTGGTCTGATAACATCCCCGCTACTGATAATCAATCTGGTGATGAAGGAGGTGACCTAGAATTTTTTTTCTTTTTTGCCATAACCTCAAAATTATTAAAAATGAAATAATTTCTGAAAACATGTTTGAAGGATCAGAAGCTGCTGAGGAAGGCGCTGTCTAGGACATTTCCGGAGAGAAGATGTTCCTAAGCTGCAAGATTATCTTAAGAAGCATTTTAGGGAGTTCAGACACATTCATTGTTGTCCAATGCTACAGGTAACTGATTTTGAAAAAGTATATGGTGGCTGTAGTTCTGGTTTTATTTTATTTTTGACCAAGTGATCAGATTGATAGCATGATGACAAATGGAGTTGGAATAAATTCTGACGGCTGCTCTTCTACAGTTTAAGCCACTGATTGATCCAGTATTGTATCATTTTAAGCTGTAAGTTAATCTACCTAGATTCTCGAGAATTCCAATGGGCCATGCCTACCACCCTTGAAGGTGGAACATTACCCGGTACTTGTGGACGGGGTGGTTTGCAAGTGCCCATATTATTAGTCGGGGCAAAGGCTCAAGTACCCATGTTATCCAAAAAAAAAAAAAAAACTATTATATTATGCTTGATAGAAAGTTGGAAACTAAATTAACTCTATAAAGAAGTTGTAGCAGATGCTGGAACAGATGATAAAATATGAACTTGTTATATTAATACCATCAACTTGATCTTTTTGTCAGAAAGAAAATTTTGAGTTTTGTGTAGACCTGCATGATTTCTAAATTAGTCCTTTGTAGTTTGTAGAACTTGATGAAACGTGGGATTTAAAATAATGTGAATAGGACTAGGCAATAATAATAATAATAATAAATGAATGGTACCAACATGTATTCCCTTTACTTGTCTTGAGCTCAGCTGGATGGGTAAGATTATCAAATTGGAAAACTGGGATTAAAAATTTAAGTTTTAGTTTCTGTTAGCATATTTGTATGCCATAAAATTCATAGTTTTAACTGTTTTATAGAACCATTTCCCTTCTCTTCAGACTCAAACTAATATATTCTTGTCATTTCTTTGGGTGATGCAGGTGGTTCACCCCATACATGATCAGACATTTTTCCTGACCTTGGAGCATAAAGCCAAGCTTAAGGAGGAATATGGTATGTCAAACATATAAGGTTGCACTGGGAATGTGAATTTGTGTTTGGTGAATGTATTTCAAATATATTTACTCCAAGCACTTGCATTTAAACATTCGCTGGATATAATAGAACTGCCATGAATTTGAAATCATGTATTCCAAATAATAAATATGAATGTCTTTCCTTAGATGTCAAGTTAAAAAGCATGGATATATTAAGTATCTGAAATAAATAAATTTGAACAATATGAAATACAATGTATCTGAGCCAATTCAGAATACAATCGTTTTCTAGACAGAATTCAATTACACAGCTGAAATTCAGGTTCCTAAACTGATGGATGATTATTTTCTCACCATTTGATTAAGTCACACTATTATCCTAATGTGTAGGAATTGAACCGTGGACTTTCTTTCAGAAAGTTGGAGATGCTGTTTTTATTCCTGCAGGCTGTCCCTATCAAGGAATGTTAAGGAAACCAATTTTCTCCTTGTAATTTTTAATTATGCTTTAGCTTGACAAAGTTGGGGTATGAACTTTTACTATAAGAATCTGTGTGATAATTCAAGGTTGTGATAGTGTTCCCATTTCTCTTGAATATGGAACCCACAATAACATCCATTCTGGAAAGTATCATGTATGACATGGCAGATTACAATGAGATGTTTAGGGACAAGAGATGCCAGCCTGGATTATGGGTTAAAGTGTACTGTACTAGCATGCCTTTTGGATTAGCAAAAGCTCTGAAATTTGAAACTAAATTTATTTTAATTTACAGCCCAGTAATGCTTTCTGTAGATATAAGAGCTTACTGCCAATAGGAGTGTGAATTAATATAAGAGCTTGCATTTTCTCACCTGTCTTTCTGCTCTGCTTATGTTGTGAAAATGGGCTAATCAGATTTCATTGGTAATAATAATTTCAGAACTTCGATTACCCCAAAAAAAGGTTCTTCAGTACAAAATGCACCATAAACTGAGTTTTTGCTAACAAGCCACTGAGCCTGCCTCTAAGGGCAAGAAGAGGCTGGCAGTCTGGGTTCTATTCCCATGGAATTGCCTGTGCTCCTATTTGTTGAGATTTGAATGGACTGCGGAGATTTCCAACATTCAAAATAAAAGAAGAACTTCAGTTAGTTTTTGGTTTCCTAGTTGTCATGTATGAATCTGATATCTATGAGTCAATATGCATAGATTATGTATCGTTGAGACTCTTGTGCTTGTCTCCAGTCATGCATAAAGGTTAAACTTTATTTTGTTTCACCTGAGAACCTTGATGGGTGCTTCAGTATCATGGAAGAATTTCATGTACTTCGACACAATCATAGGGCTAAGGAGGACAAACTGGAGGTATGTGGATGGTTACTCATTTGGATGTTGATGCTGTAACTTATTTTCTTTTTCTTTTTCATTGTTTTCTCTACTATAAGGAAGGGAAATAGATTACTTTATAGTTCTTCGTTTAGCCAGGGTTAGTTTATATTTCAATGATTTGATTTGATATCATCCCCAAATAGAGTTCTTTTTAATTGGTTGATGTTTGAAGTTGAACAGCATACCATTTGTAGATTGTATACACTGCATAGACATACAATCACTATCAATTATCAATCAGTGTCTTCCACCAGTATCACTGTATCAGCATTTGTTGAATTTAACCACTATAATATTTCCCACTCTGTAGTGAATGATTCTTGTCACATTATTGCAACAGAAACTGCTTTGTACTTTATGACTATTTTACCTGAATTGTTGTGCTTATAGAATCCATCTCTTAATTGATATTTAAGTTTGTCCAGGATGCATATTCAAAAAAGTAGTGGTGGTTTCTTATGTGTATTAAGAAGTTTAATATTACTATTAGAATGATTTTCAATGATTGAAATGCCCTTGTAAATTTTACTTTATGAGAATGCTGTTCCCTTACTACTACCCTTTGAAACAGCTGAAGAAAATAACAATACATGCAATGTGTACAGCTGTAATTTTTTGGAACGAAATACAAAGTCACTTTAAACACCCTTGATTAATATTTGATTTATCTGCTGTTCTATTTAATCTGCTCCTACATTTTTATCATTAAAAAACTGCAATAATAATTTTAGGCCCTAATGTAATTTGATGCTAATTATTATTATTATTTTTTTATTTCTGTTGCATTTTGTATAATAACTTTAATCATGGGGTTAATCTAGCAATTCTTGTTCTTGTTTTGTCTTATTTTGTTAATTGTAATTGTCATGCTTTTGCAAATATCACTGGAATTGGTTTTAGAAATGAAAAATGAATGTTAATACTTGTTCTTGAGTCCATGATTATGATTGGAAAGGAAGGGCTGCAAACTAGCTGAGCTAAGCCGAGAACATTTTGTGAATCTGAGCTTGGTTGGAGTAAATTTAAGCAGTCTCAAGCTTGAACTTGATCGGAGCCTTATTTTTTGCCTCAAGCTTATACTTGATCAACTTTTTTGATATTTGAACATAGTTTGTTATTGAGCCTTCAGATTATGATATTTATTTTTCAAGTTAAAGTTATGATAATTGCCAATTACTTGTTTATTTGTTTCCTAGAAAAAACAGTGTAAGATTTTCCTTGGACAGTTTAAGCTAACGATGGACTCTTTATATATATATATATATATATATATATATATATTTTTTTAAGGGCTGACCTTAAACTTTAAGACAAATTAAAAAAAGTTAAGTTACTTACGACTTATAGGTATTAAAGAAAAGATTTTAGTTTTTATTAAATAAGGTCTTGAGTTTGAATTTTATAAATAGAAAAATAGACATTGCAAGAGTTTTTTTATAATACGATCCGACTCGACTCGACTTGATTTCAGATTAATAAAGATCCAATATGATTACTGAATACTGAGAGATTAGTAAAAAACAAAGGATTAAGTTTAAAGTTTTGCCATACCCTAGGTGTTGGTGTGTCTTTTCTTTAGAGCATTTATATAAATAAAAATTTTATACAATTTAAAATACACAATTTAAATTATTAGATGAAAATGAATTTTTTAGTATTAAAAATTATCTCTTTATCAAATTATTTTTATTTATAGGCTAAACTGTTACGCAAGATTTTCATTTACATATGTAAAATGTATGGATTTTTTTCGCAGCATAATTCGGCATTGCCAAAGTGCTGAGTTGGAATCTATACTTGTAATTCTCAAAGTAAAGGCAGGGCAAATGGACTTATTAACTAAGCAGCTCCAATCTGGGCATGGCGTGGCTGTTGTGAATTGATTCAAAATTAACAGGGGAAGGGGAGGCGAGGTTGCTATATTTTCGAGAAAAAGCATGAATAAGAATGTCTTAACTTTATTTTTTTATTTAAAAATATTAATTTTATTAGTTTTTAAATAAAAAAATTAATTTTATCAATAATTTAAATAATTTAATAATAATTTTTTTTACTGAAAATAAAAAATTTTAAATTT